CTCAGAGCACTTTTCATACTCTTTATCCTGGCTGAAGCACATTTGTTTCAATCTAGAATAATCAGCCTACACTACCAGTAGTCAAAGGTTTTTTAACAGTAAGATTACATTAGAATGATTTCTGAAGGATCATGTGACTGGAGTAATGATACTAAAAATATAGCTTTGAAATCACAGGAATAAGATGCATTTTAAAATATTTTCAAATAGAAAACCGTTATTTTAATTAGTAAAAATATTTCAAAATGTTACTGTTTTTGCTGTATTTTGGATCAAATAAATGCAGGCTTGGTGAGCAGAAGATAATTCTTTATAAACATTAAAAATCTTATTGATCAAAAACTTTTGGCTGGTAGTGTATGTTAGCCTATAGTTTGAAGTTAAAGATATTAATATTAATTAGGCGAGTCTGAGACGATTACTTGACAGTGATTTCACATTTCTTGTTTGTATGAAGGCTAAATACAAATACAAGGTGAACATTAATTTATTTGTGCTGTTTTTTTTTTTTCTAAAATATTATATGGTTTTATATGAGGTGTCACAGACTTGGCAAATAAATTTTTCTTAAGTTTGTATGCACAGACATCTGTTGTGGGTGTTCTTGGCAGTTTTTACGAGGCTTTTTTTAATAGTGTTCATATAGATATCGGAATTATACCGTATCGACCGAAATTAAGAAATATATCGTGATATAAATTTTGGCCATATCGTCCAGCCCTATATTGAACAGTAGTGTACTTCGTTACAAAAGATACAAACTAACCTGCTGGAAGTGTCCTCTGTTGTTGGATCCGCCGCGGTGCATGTTACCTATGTGTGCAGGCCCTCCGCGGCCCATTGCTCTACCTCTGCCGCCTCTAATGTGCCCACCCCTGGGGCCCATTCCCCGGTTGGGCATCCCACCGGCTCCACCTCGGCTATGGAACCCTCCTCGGAAGACAGGGGGTGGTGGCGGTGGTGGCATGTAGCCACGCGGGTGACGATTAAAACCTCGATGTGGTACTGGTACTAGGAGAAAATACGAGGTATAATTGTCAGTGTATATTTACCATGACGGCTCACTAAAAAAAATGAAATTAAAAACTGGCTTACATCCTCTGAAGTTTCCACGGGCCTGAAATCCACCTCTGCCTCCACGT